AGCAGTCGTCTGAGGTAATTCGTGCTGCGGTATGGCGGCAAAATCTCGATCTTCATGCCAAGCACGTGCACGCTGTCGGGTGTGCGTTTGCCGTGGTGGTCTGTGTCCGTTGTGCATGATCTTCGTTTTGTCAGGATGCAGATCTAGGCCTGCCTTGCCCGCTTAGTGATGAAGTCGGTAAGCATATGTGTCAGGTGGTTCAGTGACCCAACAAGCAGGGGATGTCATCCGCGAAGCGAAGGTTTGTGAGGCAATCCTTCGTGTGTAGTTGGAGCTTGAAACCATAACCATTGGATGCCCATTCTCATGATGCTCTCTGACACGCTGTTGACTAGCAGTGAACTCAGGGGGTCACCTTGCTTTGTTCCCCGCAGGACATTGAATTGTCTGCTTGTGCGGTCTGTCTGGACTGAGCCCGTCTGGTCCTGGTGGAGTTTTGTTGAAAGTAAGTGGATGTACGGTGCGGGTGTATGCTGCTCTGCTAGCGAGCCCCATATGTAGGCGTGCGTAATTTGCTGCCGAATGCCTTCTTCACTGCGGCCGACCATACGGGGAGTTGCCATTCGTCCGCGGTTTCTTGCAATATGGATGTCGCGAACAAATGGTCGATGGTGCTACGACGGGGTCGGAAGCCAGCTTGGTCGGCGCTTTGGCTGCTGACAAAAAGCGGAGGCAGCCGGTTATACAATAGCCGCGAGAAGAGTTTGTACAGCATGGGTATGCTAACAATTGGTCTGCGATTCTTTGGATGCTGTGGGTCTCCGCTTTTGGTGAAGTACTTTGATTACTGTGTGCCGCCAACTTGTCGGCGTCGGCGAGCCAGGTAGTAGGATATTGTTGTACATGTCGAAAAGGACGGACTGCAACGCGTCTCCTCCAAATTTCAGCATCTCGGCCGATTTCCCAGAGACGTCAGCAGCTCTGTTAGATCGCAGTTGGCGCAACGCTGTCTCCAGTTCGTCACGCGTGAATGGTGGGATGGCGTCTTGTTGTGCGTCGCGCTCACGGCGTTCAACGTCGGCGTTGTTTCTGCGGCCGGTGTCGATGTACAAGTCTTCGTAAGATGCCGCGAATACGTCAACTATGGTTTTTCGGTAGTGCTGCGTCTCACCGGCGTTGTCCGCCATGCTCGTGATGAATGTTCGTTTTTTGGTGGTTATGGTTCCGCTGATGCGCTTCAAACCCTTGTGTTCCGACAGGATGCGTTCGATTGTAGCCCTGCGGACAGCCCGTTTGATAGCACGTATTTCTTTGCGGATGTGTTTGTTGAGTCTGTTCCGTGTAGTTGTCTCGTGGGTCGGTGTGTTACGTCTCTGTTGGAGTAGTTGCGTGAGTGCATCGCTTGTTGGGCGGTTGCTGCGGTGACGGTTTGTACTCGGTGGTTGTAGCTGCAGCAACACATATTTGATTGACTGTTCGATTTGTTCGCATTGTAATTGTAGCCGTGCCTCCGCCAGTAGAAGGTCGAGCTGCTCACGCAACGCTTGCTGATACTGCGTCGTGTTTGATGGGGTCCATGTTGGTCGTGATTGGTGTTGCTGTCGTGTGCTGTTCGTCGACCGCTGCTTGTGGGTGCTTCTCACCACGCATGACAACCGCAAGGCACGATGATCAGATCCCATGTCAATGTCGCTGGTCGACTCAAAATCTTGGACCATTCGCCACATCTTTTGCTCACCAAGAAATGATATAATTGACTGTCAACTTTCTGAGGCGATGTGTACGTGATCAACTTGTCGTTTTTCCTGTAAAAGAATGTGTTGGCAAGCCGGAATCGTTGGTTGGTGGCCCATTGCTTCAACCACTGCCCTCGAACATTCATTGTGCCTATCCCATGCCGGCCCAGAATATTTCTTGAATCGGAAGCAACAATGCTTGATGTGATGATGGCCATTATGGGGTACCCCCTAGGATGCATCACCTGACAGGAACTCTGGTGGCAAGACAGATCGAGGTGACCCGGCCCCGAATGGTTCGCAATGAATGCACACACTACCAAATGCAAGCTGCATCCAAAACTGGCCTTCGCGGACCAGCTCGGGATATCCATACATCGTACAATCCATGCGTGCGACATGCATGTGGAAGACGAACAACAAGATAACGAAGTCTCTTGTCTTTCTTCGGCCGCCTCTTGGACAGTGGTGTTGGTGGTGGCTCATTGGGGTCCTCTTGGGGCCTTCTTGGGGCTCCTCCAGGGCCCATTTGGCAGTTTCGAAGCAGAATCGTCGTCGTCGTCGTGGTCGTGCGAGGGAAGGGGGGGAAGGGAGAGAACCAGAGTGGAGGGAGGGAACTGGGGAGGGAAGCAAGGATAAGGGGGACAGGCAGGCAGGGAAGGAAGGAAGGCAAGAGGGAGCAGCGGTTGAGTGGAGCCTCCGCTTCCATCCTCGCACTCGGCATCCTCATTCCGTCCGCTCTCCTCATTCTCCTGATCCCCATTCGCATTCCAATCCCCTGCCTTCGCCCTCCGTCTCCCTCTCCTGCTCCTCCTCCTCGTCCTCTTCGGAATGGCGGCGACAATCACGTTCCCAGAAAGCGTTCCGGGAACATGACGGTTTTGTCCGTGTTCGGGTCCTCTTGGGGGCCTCTTGGCCTGTCTTTGTGCGATGTGGGAAGGAGTCCTCCTCCTTCTAATCTTCCTCCTCCTCTTTTTTAGATCCTCGTTCTCATCCTTATCCCCTGCTTCCGGCCCCCATATCCCTGCTTCTTCCCCCCTCCCCGTCCTCCTCGCCCCCCTCCTCCTCGGACTGGCGGTCTCTGATGACTCGCCAGGAACATGGTGGTTTGGGCCGTGTTGGGGCCCTGGCTGAAGCCTCTTGGCCTGTCTACGCGAGATCTGGGAAGGACGGAAGGAAAGAGCGAGCAACGGCTGACTAGGGGTCATGCTCCTTTCCTGGTTCTCGGCCTTCCCATCATGTTCACAGAAAGCTCTCTGGGAACATGCTGGTCCTTGTTGGGTCCCTCGTGGAAGCCTGATTGCCCGTCTCCGCGCGTTCTGGTAAGGACGGACGGAAGAAGCAACGGGTGAGTTTTAGTTGTGCCTCCATCCTCGCTCTCGGCCTCCTTATTCCGTCCGCCCTCGTCCTCCTCCTCCTCCTCCCCCTCCTCCTCCTCCTCCGCCTCCTCCTCCTCCTCCCGCGCCGCCGCCTCCTCCTCCTCCTCCTCCTTCTCCTCCTGCTCCTGCTCCTGCTCCTGCTCCTCATGTTCCTGCTCGTGCTCGTGCTCCTGCTCCTGCTTCTCCTGCTCCTGCTCCTGCTCCTGCTGCTCCTCCTCATCCTCCTCCTCTTTGTCATCCTCATTACCATCCTCCTTCTCTGCCTCCATCTACCGTCTCTCGCTCTCCTCCTCCTCCTTCTCCTCCTGCTCATCATCATCATCACCATCATCAATTTCCTCCTCGGACTGGCGGCAACACATGCCCAAGAACACCTTCTGGGAACATGATGGCTTGGTCCGTGTTGGGACCCTCGTGGAGGCCTGCAAGGCCCTCTGGGGGTGTCGACGCTCATTTGGGGGGCCGTGTTGGGGCCCCTTGGCCCCCTGCAGGGCCTCTTGGGGGCGCATAGGCCTTTCTGGAAGGCCGTCTTGGGGACTTCTCGGCCATCTTGGGCGCCTCCTGGGCCGTCCTGGCGCCCTCTTGAGGTGCCTCCGGGGCCCTGGGCGCCTTCGGGGCCCTGGGCAATCTCGGAGCGTCGAGAAGCGGGGCGGGGTACAATAGGAAACCCCGTCATAATCACATTGGGAATCAATTAACTCTGACTTGTGGGTATCTGATGGCGGGCATTTGGGAGCCCCTTTTGGGCCGTCTCGGCCTGGTGGGCCGTTTTGGGGTGTCTTGGAGCCTTTTTTGCCACCCTCACGGCCCTGGTGGCGGGTCCAGGCTCACTTGTGGGGCCGTCTTGGGGACCTGTTGTTGTGGCCCTGGAACCCCGACGAGTGCGAAATAATCCATCAACGTTGCCTAACAAGCCATACTGATATCGCAATGATGCCTCCCAAACCGCCTACGCCGGCCGCCACGATGGCCCAAGTGGGACCAATATTGTCTCCAGGGTGACATCAGAAAGCTTGAAAGGTGGCCCCAGATCCTCCCAAGGAGCCCTCCGAGGTCCTATCACCATGAACAGACACCACAGTGTTTCAGATATCTGGGCCTTCTCGCCTTTGCCACCTCTAGTTGGCCAGAGCCAGAACAAAGCCCTAACAGACTCCCCCAATCCCCACAATAGGTCAGGTACTGGGGCCTCCAAATGGCATCGTAGAGCCCAAAGGGCGTCACGAAAGCCCAAGATAGGCCCGAGATAATCCTGGGGGGCCAAGAGGGGGCCAAGCGGCCCAAGGAGTAAGCGCCGCACCTAAGGCTGCAGAGGAGCCCTGGATGATTGGGCACACACGTGTCGGCACCACAGCCCTGCCGATTTGCGCGCTCGTTTGTTTGGCTCGGCGGCGTGCCGAGGCGGGAAGTGCGAGGGGGCAAGCCGTCTCAGAAGGCGGCGGGGCTTCTCGACAACCCCCCAGCCTTCTGAGAGGCCCTCTTGTGGCTTCGATGGAGGCTCAGGAAGATTATCAAACGGCCAAGGGCCTGCTGAGCCTTCCGAGAAGGCCCGCCCTCTCTGCCTTCTCCCCCGGGCGCGCCGCTATCCTCGTTTCGGCACCACCGCCTTGAAAGCAAACAGCGACGATATCCCTCTGGGGGTTGAGGTCGTCACGTGTTCAGGCTTGTCTGCTCTACACGTGCTGTTGTTGTTGCTGCTGTCCCTCCTCATCTCTGCTCCTCCAGAACGTGCAACGGGCAGTGTGTTGTTCGTTCGCACAGCCATCCGGCCATGCATGTATGTACCGATCCTGGCCAGGCCAATCCTGGGCCCATGGTCAGTGTAGAAGCTAACTATACAGGCAATCCTGCCCGAGCCAGAAGGACGTATACCTTCCGATCCTGGGCCCAACTGCTAGCGTGGCCAAACTCCGTGGTAACTGTTTGGATTGCGTTCCCGGGTCTCCGTCGCCAATGCCGTACGACTTCAAAGAGAGCCCGTCGTTGATGAGGGCGGTCTCGCAACGAGGGCGGGCGGCCCAGCCAGCAGCAGCAGCAGCAGCAGCAGCAGCAGCAGCAGCAGCAGCAAGGAAGGCAGCGTTAACGACGGGAGCGGCGAAGACATTTCCGATCATCTCATCAATAACTACGTCAACAGCAAGCCTTTTGCACCACGACCGTGGCAACGAAGACACGAAGATTCCGGGGGGCTAGCAAATCGCACAACAACAACAACCCTTCGCTCGAGGAAAGGGCAGGACACCCATGATATCGGGTGCGGATGCGCACAAGTCTGGAACATTTGAAAGCCATCGGGTCCAGAGATCCTCGGTCCTCGCTCGAAGATCGAAACTTCCATGCGATCTTGGACTGTTCTGGGCCTTCAATGTGAGGGGCCTCTGGAGGCCCTCGAGCTTTTCCGATGGCCTCTGGGGACCTCTGGTCTTCCGGAGACCGGGCGGGTTTGGAGGACGTGTTGTGCGCCGCGGCCGCTTCAGAGGGCTCTCTGAGAGCGCTCCGAAAGGACGCATTCTTAACCTAAGGCTCCTCGATGAGGAGGACCTCTCTTGCCCCAAGCCCATCTCCTCCTCACTCCTTACTTCCTCCTGGTCATTTGCCTCATCCTCCCTTGCCTCCTCTGCCTCCTCCTTCTTGCTCTGCCTCCTCCTCCTCCACCGCCATCTCTTCTCCTCTTACATCACGTTTCCCTGTCGGAACCCCAGAACTGTCGGTTGGGCGGGCCGGGCGTTTCGCCTGAGACTTCCTCGCCGCTCATGATCCTGAAGCGTGAAACTGGCAACAGTTCAACGGATGGCGGGCGGATCCTTCTGAAAGTGTGGCTCTCGCCTCTCGGCGGTGGACAAACCTCCCTTTAGTAAACCTCCCCTTAGTGAAAACGGCTTGGGACCGAAACCGACGGACCTGGACCCGCAAAAACGACGGCCGCGACGCCCTCCCGGGAACCGAAAAGGGCCACTTCGCCAGTCGACGTGTCAGGGTAGGAGGTCGATCCAGCCCCGAACAACTGGCAACAGCTTAACGGAGGGCGGGCGGATCCTTTTGAACATGTGGCTCGGGTCGGGCGAAAGGGGGGGATAGCAAAGGGGGGGTTTGAGAATCAGCTCACGCAGCTGCTTTTCCCAGCACCTCCCGGCGCCGGAGGCGGCCATGTGTCGAGGACTGGGCCCCTCGGCGGGGCCGAAACCAGCTGCACGCAGCCAATTTCGTAACCCTCCCTTTCCCAATCCCCCCCCTTTCGCCCGGCCCGAGCGGCCCTCGCCCTCCGCGCCGCACACATATTCGTCTCAAGAGCTTGCAGCAATCGCGCACGGACGGAGGGCGGGGCCTCCTCCAAGCCGTGGCCTCTCGCCTCAGCGCCGCACCCATGCGTCTTCACGTCTTGCAGCAGTGTAACAGGGCTCCTTCTCCTCCTCCTCCTCCTCCTCCTCCTCCTCCTCCTCAACCTAAACGGTGTTTTTCGTGTTCGTTTTGTTCTCGCTGTCCCTCGCTTTTGTCTCGAATCCGCCTTTACCGCAAAACGAAGTCGGAGCGAAGACGGCCCACGAGATCGCCAAAGACACCGTTCAGGCCCAGCCCTTAGCGGGCCCTGGAAACGACAGGGCCGTTTTTTTTACCGGTTCCGTGTTGCCGTTTTTTTGCCGGTTCCGACGCCGTTCTTTTACCGGCTCCGTCGCCGTTCCTTTACGGGTTCCGCTCCGGTTCCAATCCTGGAGCCGTTTTTGTTGCCGTTTCCAGTCGCCGTTTTTCTGCCGCTTCCAGTTTCAAGGGACCCTTTGTCGGAACCGGTGAAAAAAACGGCCCTGCCGTTTCCGGGGCCCGCTCTAAGGTCCAGCCCTGCAGCTTCACCCGTGGAGGGCGGGCCTCAGCGCCGCGCGCCTTCGCCTTGCAAAGTCTGCAGCGGTCTCACGGATGGGGGCCAGAGCCAGGTCCAGAGTGTGGCCCTCCTCCTCCTCCTCCTCCTCCTCCTCCTCCTCCTCCTCCTCCTCCTCCTCCTCCTCCTCCCCCTCCCCCCCCCCTCCCCCTCCTCCTCCTCCTCCTCCTTCTCCTCCTCCTCCTCCTCCTCCTCCTCCTCCTCCTCCTCCTCCTCCTCCTCCTCCTCCTTCTCGCCCCAGCGGCGCACGCGTTCGCCCTACAAGTCTGCAGCGGCTTCGCCGACGGAGGGCGTCTCCAATGCGCAGTGCAGCGCTCGCTCCTGCGCGCGCCGCGCAGTCGCTTCGAACATCTGCAGCAGCGTCAACGATTGAGGGCGCTTCTTTTTCATGCAGTCGGGGCGTTGACCTAAGGAACCCAAAATAAGGAACGAAGCCCCTTTTTTTCATAAGTTGTCCTTCGACTTGCAACCAAAAACTTCAGAAAACATTGGGCAAGGTGTGGAACAATTAAGGGACACCGAGCCCCTCCCCAACGAAAAGGGTTCCTTCTTCAGGGCCCCGACTGTAACTGTGGGCTTCGCCTTCGCGCTGCACACATTCGTCTTAAACGTCTGTAGCAGTCTGAAGGATTACTAGGAACGACGTTCCAACAATGTCGTTCTGGTGCGATTTGGGATCGTCAGGACGCAGTAATCGCGTTGAATCGCGGTGTTCGCGTGCCGGCAAGATTTCGGATCGTCAGGACGAAGCAGTCACGTTGATTCGCGGAGTTGAAATCCCAGGAGCTGCGTTCTGGTACGATTTAGGACTGTCCGGACGCAACAGTCACGTTGAAGTCCCAGGAGCGTTGTTCTGGCACCAATGGAAATTAATGGGCCACTTCCCACATTGGTAATGCCTGTGAAGAACGTACTGGGTTTACAGTGGTCCTCCTCCTCCTCCTCCTCCTCCTCCTCCTCCTCCTTCTCTTCCTCCTCCTCCTCCTCCTTCTCCTTCTCCTTCTCCTCCTCCTCCTGTCTCCAAGACTGAGGTCGCCGGGCTGGCGCAGCATCCGCGCGGCGCCCCGGGGACCCGGGCCTGCATGAAAGCACACGCCGCCTCGTGACGGGTGGTGCGCTCCCGCTGAGTATGAATGGGGCCCCAGGACGCATAAATAAATACGCACAAATAAAATAATTCCCCATATTTTCCAATATTTTCTGGGTTTCTGTCTTCCCCCCCACTTCCCATATTTTCCCATATTTTCCTGGGGATCGACGAGTAATTGTGTCTGTGTGTTTTTTCCCCTCCCGCTGAGTAGCCCAGCTGGTGCGCTCGCCGGCGCCACGGGAAGGGGGAGCCGCCACGTGGCGGGGGGCACAGCAGACACGTGCGGCAAGGCATGTTGCCACCAGGGAAACCTCTGGGCATGTTCCTCGTCGAGGTTTGAGTGTGCTGAGGTGCCCCAGGGCTGCTGTGGGTCCCCTGGTGCACGAGGGGACAAGAATGATGTTGCTCCCATCGTACTTACCGACCACACCCCGGACATACTTTCGAGCACCCGGAAAAGTGTCAAAAGAGTGTCGGAACAGTGTCGAAGCAGTGTCGGGCGAGCGTCTCCCAGGGCCCGACACGTGAACACCCTCGAGTTTCGGTACTTGTTTGGGGCGCTCGAAATTCTTTCTGGTGGTCAAGGCTAGAAGTAGGTTGGAGCATCATCGCAGGCCTAGAGGTTGACACCAACACCAAGATCGGCGGTGTGCCTCCACCGAAGGAAGACGATCCCGATCTCGGCGATGGTGGCAATATTCTGGCTTCCAGGGTGACTGAAATATCACCACCAACACCGAAATCCAGGATCATCCTCCCCATGTGGAGGCAACCCTCTGTGCTCGTGTTGGTGCCAATTTCCAGGCCTCCAACATCATAACCCTCGGTACTTTTTTGGGGCGCTCGAAATTCTTCCTGGTGATCAAGGCTAAAGTAGGTTGGAGCATCATAGCCCCAGGGCTGACGTGGGTCCCCTGGTCCCCGAAGGGGGCAAGACGCCTCCGTGGGGCACCTGCTGGCAGGCCGGCTTCTCGGTCGACGCGCCCGCTGCAGGCCCGAGGGCGCGAGGCCCCTCTCCGCGGGGGAGGTCTCTCGCAAATGCCAAGACGAAGCCAGGACGAGGATAGACTCGGGTGGGGATATATACATATATATATATGTATATATATATATATATATATATCTATATATCTATATATATGTATGTATATGCATATATATATATATATGCATATATATATATATATATATATATAATATATATTTGTGAATATAGATATATATATATATATGTATATATATATATATATATATGTCGAGAAGCTCTGAGGTCCCGCGGCTCTGGAGGGTGCCTCGGGCGCCGCGGCTTTCTCAGAGCGTTCCGGAACGCTCTGAGGGCGTTCTGGAACGCTCTCGAACGGATTTATCCTCGTCCGAGCCCCGTTCAGCATTCCCTGCCACACGTCGGTACCCTGCCAGACGTCATGGGGGCAAGGGGTCGTCGTCGGAGCGGTGCCCGGCGGAAGGCCCATTGGGGACGAGCGCGTTGCTTGCTCCCGCAGGTGTTCGAGAGAGCAGCGACTCCGTGCCGCGGTCGGTGAGTCAGGCCCAGCTGCTGATGCCTGTGCCTCCCCCACTGACTACCTACCAGGCCACCCCAACCCAACCCGAAGACCCGAATTTCGGGTTGGGGGGGGTACGGGTTCCATATGTGTTTTCTCGATGTTTCCCGACCCCCCCCAACTGGAAATGGAGGTCGATTTGAGGCCTTCGGGTTGGGTTGGGGTGGTTTGGTGGGTGGTGACCCACTCCCTCCTCGCTTCTGTTGCCCCGGTCCCCGCGGTCGGCGATGCTGTGGAGTGGCTGCCGGGCCAGCCGAGGGCCACCGGGTGTGCTCGCGCTGCGGGCCGCCGAGACGTGGGCGGCGGCAGTGGCATCCCTCAGCTTTGAAAGAGCGTGTTCTGCCGCTGCTGGCGGAAAACCGGGGGGGGGTCACTAGGAATTCCCACCCCGTCCACCCCCCCCCCCTCGAAAACCCGGGGGGATCACTACCAGTTCGAACCCCCCCCACCCAATCCATCGTGAACAGGGGGGGGGGTCACTACCGGTTCGAGCCCCACTCCCCTCGAAAACTGGGGGGGGGTCACTACCGGTTCGAACCCACCCCCCCTCGCCGCTGGCAAACGATTCCCGCTCCTCGGGAAGGTTGGACGGTGGTGGGGATGCTGGGACAGTGGTGGGGTCGGTGGTGGTGGGGACAGTGGTGTGGAGACACTGGGACAGTGGTGCGGACAGTGGTGGGGACGGTGGTGGGGGGGACAGCGGTGAGGGGACAGCGGGACAGTGGTGGGGACAGTGGGACAGTGGTGGGGACGGTAGTGGTGGGGACAGTGGTGAAGGCGGTGGTGAGTACGGTGGTGGGACAGTAGTACAGTGGGGAGAGTGGTGGGGACAGTGGGGACAGTGGGACAGTAGTGGGGGCAGTGGGGATAGTGGGACAGCACAGTGGGACAGCGGCGGGGACATTGGGGACAGTGGGAAAGTGGTGGGAACAGTGGGACAGTGGTGGGAACCGTAGGGGAAAGTGGGGAAAGCGGGCCAGTGGTGGGACAATGTTGGGGAGAGTGGGGACAGTGAGACACTGGTGGGGGCATGGGTGGGGACAGCGGGGACAATGGTGGGAGCAGTGGGGACAGTGGGACAGTGGTGGGGACTGTGGGACAGTGGTGGCGACGGTGGTGGTGGGGACAGTGGTGTGGGGACAGTGGGAATTTGGTGGGGACAGTGGGACAGAGATGGGGACAGTGGGGGTGGGGTCAGTGGTGAGGGCGGTGGCGAGGACGGTGGTGGGACAATGGGACAAAGGTACAGTGGGGACAGTGGTGGAGACAGTGACAGTGGTGTGAACAGTGGGACAGCTCAGTGGGACAGCGGCGCGGACAGTGGGACAGTGGAGACAGTGGGAACAATGGGACAGTGGTGGGGACTGCGGGGAAAGTCGGAAAGTGGGACCGTGGTGGGAACAGTGGTGGAGACAGTGGGGACAGTGAGACAGTGGTGTGGGCACAGGTCGGGACAGTGGGGACGGTGGTGGGAAAAGTGGGGACAGCGGTGGTGTGGACGGTGGTGCTGGGGACAGCGGTGGAGGATGTGGTGCGGACGGTGGTGGGGACCCAGGAGTCGTTTGCCGGCGGTAAGGGGGGGGGGTCGAACCTGTAGTGACCTTCCTGGGTTTTCTGGAAGGGGGGGGGGTTCGAACTGGTTGGCAGTGACCCCCTCCGGTTTTCCAGAGGTGGGGGGTTCGAACCTGTAGTGACCCCCCGCGGTTTTCTAGAGGGGGGGCGGGGGGGTTCGAGCCAGTAATGACCTCCTCCGGTTTTCTGGAGGGGGAGGGGGTTCGAACCGGTAGTGCCCCCCCGCCTCGGGTTTTCCGGAGGGGAGGGGGGAGAGGTTAGGGGGGGTTTTGCCGGAGGGAAGGAGGGGGGGGGGTTCCAGCATGGGGGGGAATTTCGAGGGGGTGGAGGGGGGGTCCAGGGTTCCGGAGGAAAAGGGGGGGAATTTTCCACAGTAAGGCGGCGGTGGATCACGCTCTCTCTCAGCTTTGCATCGCTGAGGGAGCGGGCAGTTACACTGAGGGTGAGCTTTTGCGCATGCAGCGCTTGTGAGTACCAGGCATGGGACAGTGGTCCTGATGACCCACTCGGATGGCGGGGGCATCCATCGCGAACCACACAGTGTCCAACGGGGCTCGCCTCATCTCGAGATGGCGTTGTCTCCTGGGTGTCTATGTTGCCCCTCTGGTGTAGCAGCAGGCTCCAACAAGTCCCTCATCCCCCTCCCATCTCTACTTCCTTCCTCCTTCCTCATCCTCCCTCCTTCTCCTCCTCCTCCTCCTCCTCCTCATCCTCCTTTATCTTCCTTCCTCCTCCTTCATCTCCTCCTAATTCGCATCCCTGAATATTACCCTCCCTCGGGTCCTGGCGGAAAAAGAATCTCTGCCGGCCCACCTCTATGTCGCACGCCGCCTCTATCAGGCCCTTCAGCGACTCTGCCCGCCACGGCCTTGAGAAGGGCAGTATGGGGGGGGGACAACAAGAACAGGGAGGGGGGAGAGGGGCCAAGGAGGCGGGGAGGAGGAGAGAGGGGAAGACGAGCTAGATGCGCTCGCGCCGTATCTGACGCCCTACCCCGCTCACTCATCGATTCCCATGGCGCTCATTTTCCTCGAGGGGGAGGATGGAGGAGGAGGAGGAGGACGAGGACGAACATCAGCAGCAGGAGCAGGAGTGGGAGGAGCGGTATGAGGATGAGGAGGAGGATCAGGGACGCAGAGGCAGGGAAGAAGCGGGGAGACAACGACGAGGAAGGGCTCGGATTCAGAAAAGTGGCCCGCGCTGGGGCGCCAGCGCCATTCTGAACGACGGGAGCATCGCGCTGATCCGAAAATGAGGCCCACGCTGCAGCGGGAAACTCATTTCGGAAGGACCGAAGGTGGTCGGCTTGAAGAAGCAGATCGGAAAGAACAATTCAAACCGGTCCTGTGCAGCAGACAATACGCGGAGGAGGGCGGGCTGCTCTCACGACGTCTTCGGGGGAGAGTTGAGAGCAGTATTTGTATTGAGTGGTCGCGTAGAAACAGGATGGGGAGCGGACACAGACTGAGTCTGAGCACCATAAACTCACCAGCCGTCTGGGCGCAGGTGGTCTAGCGCGTTTCCTTCTTTCCCCTTCCCCTTTTGGGGAAAAGGCTTTCTTCTACTCCTTATTCCCCAAATCCGAAGATGGGATTCTTATTGTTCCCCATCTCCTAAGACGTTTTCTTCCCATCCATCCTGTAGCGTTGGGTCTTCGTTTTGAAGAGACGGCGCCCCGGGTTCTCCTCCTCCCGCCTCCTTCCTCCCATCCCTGCCTCTCCTCTCCGCGTGCCGTCATCGACATCATTATTGACATATTCACACCCCTCACACGGTTCGTGGCACCATAGGGAGCTCCACTGAAGGCCCCAGTGGCGGGGTTTACATGCGTCCCCTGCGACTCATTTCGGCACACCTTCACGCGGTTCGTGGCCCCAAAGGGAGCTCCACCGAAGGCCCCAGTGGCAAAGTTCGCCTGGCGGCCCCGCCCCAGTTCGGCGCACCCCTCACTCGTTTCGCGGCCCCATGGGGAGCTTCACCGAAAGCCCCAGTGGCAAAGTTCGCATGGAGGCCCCGCACCCATTTCGGCGCACCCCTCACACGCTTCGTGGCCCCATAGGGAGGGAGCTCCTCAGAAGGCCCCAGTGGCAGGGTTCGCATGGCGGCCCCGCCTCATTTCGGCGCACCCCTCGCACGTCTCGTGGCTACATGGGGAGCTCCGCCGAAGGCCCCAGTGGCAAAGTTCGCATGGCGGCCCCGCCCCATTTCGGCGCACCCCTCACACGCTTCGTGGCCCCATGGGGAACTCCACCGAAGGCCCCAGTGGCAGGGTTCGCATGGCGCCACCGCAACCATTTCGGCGCACCCTCAATCATTTCGTGGCTCCATGGGGAGCTCCACTGAAGGCCCCAGTGGCGGTTCGCATGGCCCCACCGCACCCATTTCGGCACACCCCTCACGCGTCTCGTGGTCCCGCAGGGAGCTCCACCGAAAGCGGGGTCACAACTGCGAGACTCACAATTGCATATGGCCTCCGGACCTCCTTTCTCCCTTTCCTCTTCTTCACCCCTTTATCACTCAAACACAAACTCGAACCACTCACGCCCACCTGGTTGTCCACCGCAGACTTACTCTTTTCCACGGGTCAATCACAGACTCACTCAGCCTCACTCTCAGCCACATCACTTCTTCACTTTGACTCTCTCAGACTCACTCAAGGAATTAGCCTCAAACGCAATCGCACTCATACACATATAAACTCTCTCACTCCGACACACTCTTCCTCACTCTTCCTCACTAGCGCTTTTCTGGTGGTCCGCTGTTCACCGCGGTATGGCAAGTGTTGCACTACCCCAAGGAGGAGCCGCCAGACTTTTCTGTTTTGGTGGTCAATTTCTCACCACGATATAGCCGGCGTGCTACTGAGGCACCCCACGCGGGAACCGCCAGGGGTGAGGACACTCTACGATTCGTGCCCAGATTGTGGGGATGTCTCAAACGGTCTGCCTGTTTCCGCTCAGCAGGCTTTTCTCTGATGATCCAATGCTCACCGCGATATAACCAGCGTTCTACTTGGGCACACCAAAGGGGGGCCGCCAGGGGGGAGGACACTCCAAACGTCGCGCCCAAATTGTGGGGATGTCTTAAACGGTTTGCCTGTTCCCAGAGGGGAACCGCCAAGGGTGAGGACGCTGCAGGATTCGCGCCCAGATTGTGGGAAAGTCTCAGGTAATTTGCCCGCTTGTGCCCCCCAGGCTTTTCTGTTTTTGTGGTCCAATGCTCATCGCGACATTGCAGGCGTTGCAATTGGGCAGCCGCCAGGGGTGACACTCCCGGATTCGCGCCCAGATTGTGGGGATGTCTCACGCGGCTTGCTTGTTTCTGCCCCTCAAGCTTTTATCTTCGGGTGGTCCAGTGCCCATCGCGACATTGCAGGCGTTGCGTTTGGGCACCCCAAAGGAGAGCCGCCACGGGTGAGGACACTCCAGGATTCGCGCCCAATATTGTGGGGATGTCTCAAGCGGTTTGCCTGTTTCTGCCCCCCCAGACTTGTCTCTTCTGGTGGTCCAATGCTCACCGCGAAGTAGCAAGCGTTGCACGCGGGCACCCCACGGGGGAGCCGTCCGGGGTGAGGACACTCTAGAAATTCGCCGGCCCAACGGGCCAGAGGCGTGCTAAGATCTCCGGTAACAAGTTAACAATATAACAAGTTCGCGCGCGCGAGGCGGCCCCTGGGGCCCCCGACGCGACAACTACCCCGCCAAAGTCCTGGCAAGTGCCTGCCAGAGATGCCGGAGGCCCCCCAGACGGCCCAAGAGGCGCCCAAGACGGCCTCAAGAGAGCGCCCAGACGGTTCAAGAGCCCTTCGAGTCCTCGCAAGATCGGCCGACGATGCCACAAGATCGCTCTAAGACGCCCACCATGGCCTCCAGACGCTCCCAAAGGTCCCCGAAAGCGCTCCCAAGAGGGCCCCAGGAGGCAACATTATTTTTGTCCCTAGGTCTTGGATACATTTTCGGGTTTCTACTTTTTCGGTTTCCCGACGCTCCAATATGGCCTAAGAGGCTTCCAAGATCGCCCCAAGAGGGTCCAAGAGGACCCCAAGACAGCCGAAGACGGCCCAAGATGGCCCCAAGACAGCCCAAGAGGCGCCCAAGACGGCCCAAGAGAGCCCCAAAACGGCCCCAAGAGGGGCCCAGTCCAGCCTTCAGTCCCAAGAGGCCCCCAGGAGGCCCCAAGAGGCCCCCAAGAGGCCCCCAAGAGGCCCCAAGGGGCCCCCAAGAGGCACCCCAAGAAGCCCCAAGAGGCCCCCAAGAGGCCCAAAGAGGCCCCAACACGGCCCCCAAGAGACGTCAAAACTGCCTCCCAAAACGCCCCTGAGAGGCCAACCACGAGAGCACAACCAACATCCGTGAGGCCTCTGACCCGACACCCAACGCCTCCGAAAAATGGCAGCCGCCCAACCGCACCGCATTGACAACAACACCCCGACAAAAGACAGCGGCGAGGCAATATGGGCTGGCGGAATGGGCGAAGCGATTGAATAACGTCAAGTTTGTGGGGATGTTTTAGGCGGTTTGCTTCTTTCTGCCTCCCATTTTTTTCTCCTGTGGTGCTCCACTGTCCACCGCGATACAGAACGCATTATGTTTGGGCACCCCACGGGGGAGCCGCCAGGGGCGAGGACACTCCAAACTTCGCGCCCAAATTGTGTAGATGTGTCAAGCGTTCTGCCTGTGTTTGCCCCCCCCCAGATTTTATCTCTTGATGGTCCAATGCCCACCGCAACATTACAGGCGCTGCATTTTTAAGTACCAAATAGGGGAACCGCCAGGGGTGACAACATTCCCAGATTCGCGCCCGCAGTGTGGGGATGTCCCACGCGGTTTGCCTGTTGCTGCCCCCCAGACTTCTCACTTTTGGTGGTCCACTGCCCACCGCGACATTGCAGGCGCTGCGCTAGGGCACCCCAAAAGGGAGAGCCGCGAGGGGTGAGGACACTCCAGGATTCGCGCCCAATACTGTGGGGATGTCTCAAGCGGTTTGCCTGTTTCAGCCCCCCAGACTTTCTTTTTTGGTGGTCCAATGCACACCGCGAAGTACCAGGCGTTGCACGCGAGCACCCCAAGGGGGAGACGCCAGGGGTGAGGACACCCCAACCAACAATCACGCCAATGCAACGGGAAACTTCAAGGGGTTCGCCTATTTCTGCCCACCCCGTTTTTCTGTTTGGGTGGCCCAATGCTCACCGCGATATAGCACGCGTGGCGTTTGGGCGCCACGAGGGGGAACCGCCAAGGGTAAGGGTACGCCAGGATTCGGCTTCGCGCCCAGACGGTGGCAAATGTCTCTGGCAGTTAGCCAGTGTCCGCCCACAACACTTTTCTCCTCTGGTGGCCCAGTGCTCACCGCTACGTAGCAAAAGTGGCACTTGGGCACCCCAGGAAGGAGCCGCCAGGAGTGAAGACACTCCAGAATGAACGTCCAACTTGTAGGGATGTGTCGGGCGGTTTGCTTGTTGCTGCCCGGCAGGGTTCCGTTTGGACTTGTGTGCTCCTCATCCAGTCACTCGCGAGCTTCTTTGCCTCTTCCCCATTCAGACGTAAATATTCGCACTCGGACGTTCTCACCCGACCCTCTTCCTCACACAGACTCGCTCATCAGAGCCAGACTCACCCGCACTCAAGTTTAATCATAACCAGGCTCGCTCATATCTGTTCGCTCGCACTCAGAATCGTGAAACTTTGACTCACTCACGCACCAACGAATCCACACGCAGACTCACCCACAATCAGAATCATCCGCTCTCAGATTCACTAATACTCAGACCACCCCGCACCCAGGCTCACGCACACTCAATTATGTACTCATCACAAACACTAAGACCCACTCGCAGTTGACTCGCTCGCACTCCACTCGCAATCAGTTTCGCTCACACTCATAGCGACTCCAGACTCGTTATTTGCTTTCGCACGGAGGCTCCATCGTACCACGATCCGCTCACACTCCACTGACACTCCGACTCGCACTCGCGCTCAGGTTCACTAGCACTAGGGCTCACACCCAAGTGGATGCCGCGGTATAGTCAGCGAGGCACTTGGGCACCCCAAGTGCCAGCAGGCGCCGCGAGCATCACGCCCGAAAGCGGGCGTAGCGCGTAGCAACGCCATGCGCGCTTCTCTGCGTTGCCGCGGGGGGGGGGGCGGCAAGAGGAAGTCTCCCTCATTTTTCCATGTGTTTCCCTCGTCTATCCTGAAAGATGTCCACGGGAGGAGGACGTCACTGAAATCATCGCTGTCACTGTCGTTGCCGCGCCTGTCGTCTACGCGGGCTTGCTCTCACACCAGGGTGCTCATTAACATAATTATTGGACGATGCGTGACAGGAACATGCGAAACGCATACTATGGGGATCTCCTCGTCGAGTAATTACAGCGATGTCTGCGGAGCTCCTTCGTCCTCTTCCTCTTTTTCACTCTCCTATATCACTCATACACTCAACCTCAGACCACTCACGCCCATCGCGGGGCCCATCACATACTTATTTGTTATGGGGTCCCTCGCAAACTCACACTCTTCCTCACGCAGACTCAGCCTCATAACTTCCTCACTCAGGCTTACTGACACTCATATTCACTCAGGCCCATGCAGGCCCTCCCAGACGCACTCTCACTCATGCGCATTCACAATCTCTCTCATTCCGACACGCTCTATCTCACTCGATCTTTTCTGGTGGTCCACTGTTCACCGCGGTATAGCCAGCGTGCTACTTGGGCACCGCAAGGGAGATCCGCCAGTGGCGAGGACACTCCAAACATCGCGCTCATGTTGTGTGAGTGTCTTAAAACGCGTGCCGGCTTTTGCTCCCAAGACGTTTCTCGTTTAGAGATCCAATGCCCACCGCGACGTAGCAGGCGTGGCACGAGGGCACCCAGAAGGGAGCCGCCAGGGGTGAGGACACTCCAGAACTAGCATCCAGTTTGCGGGAATGTCTCAAGCTGTTTGTCTGTTTTTGCCTCCCAATCGTTTTCGTTTGTTTTGTTTCTTGGTGGCCCAGTGCCCAGCGCGGTATCGAAGGCGCGGGATCTGGGCACACCGAAGGGAAGCCGCCAGGAGTCATGGCACTCCAGGGTTCTCGCCCAGATGGTGGGGATGTCTCGAGTAGCTTGCCCGCTCCTGCCCCCGCGACTTTTCGGGAGCCGCCGCGAGGGATGCCACCCCAGGAGAGCCGCCAGGAGGGACGCCCGCGTCTGCCCCCGAGACGCTTCGGGAGCCGCCGGGAGGCATGGCACCCCAGGAGAGTCGCGCCCAGACTGTGGGGGTGTCTCGGGCCTGCTTCTGCTCCCCAGCTGTTCTGTTTTGATGGCACCCCAGGAGAGTCGCGTCCAGACTGTGGGGGTGTCTCAGGCCTGCTGCTGCTCCCCAGCTGCTCTCTTTTGCTGGTCCGCTGCTCCCCGCGATATCGCAGGCGTGGCGCCTGGGCACCCCAAGGGGGGGAGCCGCCACGGGCGAGGACACTCCGGGACTCGTGCCCAGAGTGTGGGGATGCTTCAAACGGGTGCCCCGATTCTGCCCCCAGGCTTTCCCTTCTTGGCGGTCCAATGCTCCAAGGGAGAGCCGCCATGGGGTGAGGACATCACAAGATGCGCGCCCCGACGGTGGATGTCTTCAAAGTGTTGCCAGTCTCTACCCCGCAGACGTTTCGCTTTCGGTGGTCCAGTGCTCAGGAGGACGAGGATGAGGATGAAGAGGACGAGGGGGACGATTCTTCGTCCACCCCGAGACAAAGACGACGACTAAGACGGCGGCGCATCTGGGAGCCGGGCCCAACGCTGCCGCGGCCAACGGCGGCGTCCGTGTCGGCCTTGCTAAGCGGCGCGAATGGGGAGTGGGGCGGGGAAGTGGGGCTCGCGTTGCTCGTCTTTCTTCCCCCCCTCTCCCGCCTCCTTTCCCCTCGCTCGAATCTAGAGGAGCAGGAGCAAACAATTTCATAAAACATACGCTTTCGGAGATCCGCGCGGATTTCTTGGATCGGCGCTGGGCCCCCCTGTTGGTGCCTCCGGCGCCGCCTCTGGCGCGCTCCGCGCGCCAGTGAGGGGGGTCAAGCGCGGATCCAAGAAATCCACGCGGACCTCCGAAACCTTGTGTTTACGCAGACTTTTGTTCCGCAAATGTCGGTACGGCAATCGCTGTCTCACTAGGCAATAAGATCCTGACCGCTACGGCCGGACCCACTTAGACTTCGATTCCCCATCGAGAACTTCAGGTAAACCTTAGGAAGGCTATGAAACAATTACGTGACACCGAGCCCCTCCCCAACGAAAAGCCTTCCTTCTTCAGCGCCCCGACAGTATCGCCTCCACCCCGTCCCACGAGAAGGAGGGAGAAAGGGAGGCTCGACTCCTCCGAGCGGGGAAAGGGGGACGGGAAGGCCGAGCCCCCAAACGCCTTGCAGGGGAGGGGGAGGTCCAGGAGGCGAGGGGGAGGGAAGAGGAGGGCATGGGGAGGCAGGGACAGGGGAAGGGCGAAGGGAGGGTACGGGAAGGGAGGGCCCCCTCTTCCTTGCAGATGAGATTTCCCCGTCGCCTCCTCGATGTCCCCATGCCGCTCCCCCCTCCGAAATTCCAGTGGATCCAACTCCCAAGGACCCTCGGACTCGTCGCAAGACGTCGGTCCGTGGGGCGGCACCGCCTTCCGCGCCGGGGCAGGATGAGAGGGAGGGCTGAAGGGGCCCCAGGACACACACAACTAAATGCACACAAACAAAAAGAGTCCCCGTATTTCCCCATATTTTCTGGGTGTATGTCTTCCCCCCCACTGCCCATATTTTCCTATAGTTTCGGGGGAATCGACGATTAATTGTGTCTGTGTGTTTTTTCCTCTCCTGAAGGGCGGACGACCAAAAGATCGAAGCTCTCGGAAGCGCCTGACCTTTCTGGACCTTTGGGGCCCTGCGGGCCGGAGACGTCCGGGGACCACCAGACTGAGGGGGGAGCGGGGGAGAAAAGGAAAGGGGAGGGGAGGGGGAGGAGGGCTGGGAGGGGAGCCCGCCCCCACCCGCCCTCCTGCTCCTCCTCTGCCCATCACCCAGCAACTGCGAGACGAGTGCGGAATCGAGGGCGCCTCCTGGACGCTTTGGGGAAGAACAACGTTCCCGCGCGGAGGCAGCTCTCGGCTGTTGACTGGCAGCTGATCGACTCGGCTCAGAGCCATGGCAAGTGCTACACGCATTCTGGCAGTATCAGCCTGCCTGTATGGAGATGGCCACTGGTCACGTGCCAATCCTTGACTGCCCCGAGATGACGAATGACATGCTGCAAATCGACACACGTTGCGACTCAACAACTGTGCGGCGTGTCTGCAGACCAACACGTGCAACTTCAGCATTGCCGCGCCTCCGAGCCATGCGCGGGGGGCCCAAGCCGCAGTGACGGAGGCACGGTGACCCGCATGTGATCCTCCGAGTCCGTAAAGTATATCCAGATATCAAACGTCTTCTCAGACTGGCGAGCACTGTTGCACCTGCCAGCCCACACGCCGCAACCAGGCTTGGCAGAAGAGAGGCACTGACCGGTCGACGGTGTGTGTGTGTGTGTGCTGATTCGCACGTGCATATCGCACGCATGAGCTGGCAAACAAAAACAAGCACATGCTCGCATGGGCATTCGGGGGCATGCCATCAACTGCTCATCACACCCCTCGGGGCACCCACCCGAATGACTCCAACACAGTTCTCGAGAACATTGCCTGGCTGCCTGGCCTAGCAAGCCTGCCTAGAAGAGTGGAGACGGTCACGGAGAATAATCGACGGAGGAGGGAGGAAGTGGGAGGGTGGCGATGAAGAGGGTGCACGAGGACGGAGAGGAGGATGAAAAGCAATGAGTGCAGGATGATGATGGAGGATGACGAGTAGGATGCTTAGGAGGAAGAACAAGCAACATTAGGTGTGGAGTGGGGGTGGTGGGCGGGGGATACGAGATGCGCAGGGGAAGAAACAAACTGATCAGGGGGAGGAGGAGGAGGAGAGGAGGATGAGGATGAGGATGAGGATGAGGATGAGGATGATGATGAGGAGGAGGAGGAGGAGGAGGAGGAGGAGGAGGAGGAGGAGGAGGAGAGGGAGGAGAAGGAGGACGAGGTGGAGGAGGAGAAGGAGGAGGAGGAGAGGACAACGACCAGCGGGAAGAGAAGGATCAGGAGCATGATGAGCAGCAGGAGGGATACCAGGGAGCGGGAGCACAACCGGCGTGCAGTGGGGGGGGGACCTCCCAGGATGGTGGACAAACCGAGAGGACATGGTGCGCCTGATGTTTCAAGGGTCGACCTCCCTCCCTGTGAGATTGAAGGGGCCCTGGTACACACAACTAAATACACACAAATAAAATGATTCCCCATATTTTCATATATTTTCTGGGTTTTTGTCTTCCCCCCCACTTCCCATATTTTCCCATATTTTCTGGGAAATCGCCGATTAATTGTGTCTGTGTGTTTCTTTCCCTCCTGAGAGATTGTGGAGACTACGGAAGATGAGGTCGTGCAGGCACAACAACACCTGAGTATTGGCATCGCCGATGGCCGCGGCATCGCTCAGCCCACCCCCGTCATTGACGAAGACCCCTCCCCCCGAATCACCCTCGTTCTCGCGCGGCTGGGGGCCAAACAGCTCCGTGCAGGCATCCGGAAAGGGGGCCCCCCTTCCCGCCCCGTCCTCCGCCCTAACTTCTCTCCACCCTCACCCCTTCCGTTCTCCCTGCCGTGCCGCATTCTCTCCCTCCCCCTCCTCCCCAGATGCTCTCCTCGCAACCCCCTCCACGCCTCCCCTTCTCCACAACTACGCAATATCTATATCGACTACACGCAAAAGTGACCTCAAGCAAGAGTGACCTTTGGTGCGCGGCTTTTGGGGGGCGCGGGGAAGCCAAACGCGAGCGCGCAAGCCGCTGCTATCGCATCACGATCAGCCATCCGGGGCCCCAGTCTGCCCGCACCAAAGGTCACTCCAGCGAATGGTCACACTTATGCGTAGCCTGTGATACTACTCTCCTCGCTCCCCCAACTAAGCCCTGGAAGTGCCCTGGCTTCTCCAGACATAGCGCTTGAACATGTATACGTAAATGTGCTTGGTTAATCGGAGCGCTTCCAATATTCCAGAACGGTGCTCCCGCTGCAGCGTTGGCCTCATCTCGGGATCGGCAGTTTGCCCCCGTCGTTCAGAGCGGCACTCTTGCCTCAGGGCGGGCCACTCCTCTGGACCCGAGCCCTCTTTTATCGTTGTCGCATCGCTCTTTTCCCCTCCCCCGCCTTCCCCTGGTTATCCTGCGTCTCCCGCTCCTCATGCTCCTGCTGCTGTTCCTCCTCGTCGCCGTCCTCCTCCTCCTCCGCCTCCTCCTCCTCCTTCGTAATCCGCCTCTTCCTCTTGCTCATCCACCACCTCCTCCTCCTCCTCCTCCTCCTCTTCCTCCTCCTCCTCCTCCTCCTCCTCCTCCTCTTCCTCCTCTTGCAGTGTACCGAGCTCTCCTTTGTGTGATTGCGCAAAGCACGATGGCGCCCTTTTTAACATTCGGGGTCTTCTATGAAACCCGTGGGCGGATAGAGGAAACATCAGCGCAGTGGGGAGGGATGGATGAGACAGGTAGGATGTCAGACGTGGCGCGATTGCCACTCCACTCCTCTCCTCGTATCCCTATGCTTCCTCCTTCCTTTCCCTCCTCCGAAGGTCGCCAACCTCCCCCCCTTCCGCACCACCCCTTGCCATCTCCCATCCTCCATCCGTTCTCCCCCACTCCCCCACTTCTTCCTCCTCCTCTCCCTCCGTCCCCCTTTCCCCCCCCCAGCCTCCGCGTCCCCTCCCCTTCGGGGCTGAGGACTTGCAGGGGGCATGGGTCCAGGATCAAACAGGCAGGTGGGCCAGCGGTGGACGAGGATCACAGCACGGTGACGAGAAGGCCAGGATGATCAGGTGGCGGTGGAGGAAGAGTGGAGGGATGAGGATGCGGAGTGGGAGGATAAGGCGGAAGGACGAGGTGAGGCGACAGAGGAGAAGAAGGAGGATGGGACCCTTCGGATGGAGCGCAGTGGGGAGGGATGGATGAGACAGGTAGGAGGTCAGACGGAAGAGGAGGCCAGGAGGAGAAGGAAGAGGAGGAGGATGCTTCCTCCTTCCTTTCCCTCCTCCGAAATATATTCTTCTCTGCCTTCGGAGCAGGATGAGTAAGAAGAAGATCCCAGACCCCCGACGTCGTGATTGCTTCACAACGTCGACCCCCAGAGGTCTGGACCTCTTCTTCCCGGGGACCTGTTTTCCATCCCGAGTCGTTGCTTCAAGGTCCCGAGGCCCGGTGAGTGCCCCCGGAGGCAGAAAATGACGAAACACCTCCCGTCGTGATTTTTGTCTCGCAGCGGAGGAGGTCTGGGATTATGACGATGAGCCTCGATGATGCCGCAGAGCTCCGCGACAACCCTGCGCCCCGCACTCTCCGTCAGGCGGGGGGGCCCTTTTCGAAAGCCGCGCTACTCTCGCCCTGCCCCCCGCCCGGAGCCCAGCAGAAGCTCGACCCGGGACCCCTCCCGGGGTCCAGCTGCGGCCGCGAGGGGAGGAGGAGGAGGAGGAGGAGGAGGAGGAGGAGGAGGAGGAGGAGGAGGAGGAGGAAGAGGAGGAGGAGGAGGAGGAGGAGGAGGAGGAGGAGAGGAGGAGGGAGGAGGAGGAGGAGGAGAGGAGGAGGAGGAGGAGGAGGAGGAGGAGGAGGAGGAGTACGGGACGGCAAAAAATAGCGGAAGATGCCGACGTCCTGACGGCCGAGCCCTGGCCATTTTTGCCGTCCGCGGGAGGTCTGAGTTAAACATCGCTCGAGATTGGTCACCGGACCCTCCTGGGATACTGTCGAAGGGAATGTGGCCGTGGCCATGACGACGCCCCCCAGAAGACTCAAGTCCAAAACAAACGATATGTGATAGGTGGATCTTTCAAAAATGTGCCTCCCGGCTACCTTCATATCCCGACTAATTTGTCGACTGCCCTGGAGCCCGAAAAAAACGGACCGCAGAGGCAGAAAAAGTAAGAAACAACTAAACCGTGGTCTGCCCCAGACGAAGAACGCCTTGAAACCTCAGATCATTGAGTATCGTTTAACCGATCACCATCCCCAGCGGTGTGGCTTGGGCCCCACTGCTCGATTAACCCCCCTAGGTGGGGATATAGGTCGTTCCTTTCGGGTTTCGAGGGGTGTATCCCCAACTGGGGCGGTAATTTGGTGGGGGTCTCAAAGGGGATGGGGATGGGGATGGGGATTGGTCAAACGATACTGTGTCCTCGACCCCTCGGATGCACGCAAGAGTGGCCCTGGGCAGGAGTGACCTCTGATGCGCGGCTCGAGGAGGCCGCGGGGGGGCCTCATGCAAGCACGCAGGCCCGCGCGTTGGGAGGCCCCTGTGCGCCCGCACCCCAGGTTCACGAGACTGAAGGGGCCCAGAAACACACAGATAACTAGACACAACTATAACAGGATTCCCTCACAGTTTCCCATACTTCCTGGGTTTTTGTCTTCCCCCCCTTCCCATATGTTCGCATCTTTCCCGGGGGATCGACGACGATCTGTGTCTGTGTGTTTTTCTCCCTCCCGAAAGACGGCTGCGGCTCTCCCTCGCGATGCTCCGGAACGAAGGGTCCGGCGTATGCCCACCGAGGCACTGCGTCTGCACGCATCTTTTCCTGCATGTGTTCAGGTATGTCTTCAGCACGTTATTTTCTGCCGATGCGCCGTCAGGGCGCGGCTCTTGCCTGCCTGCCTGCCTGAAAGACGAGGGGCCGCTCCCCCGTGGAGAGAAGGCAGTCGCCTGGCTCGCAGCGGCGCGGTCGTAAGCAACCTGGAAAAATGACTGTGACAATGTGCAAACTGATATATTCTCCGCCAGAGAGGAGGTGGAGGAAGAGGAGGAGGAATTGAGCAGGGACCGACCGTCCCGGCACTCCTATAGTCCTACCACAAAATGTTCTTAGAGTCCAAAAAGTTTTAAGAACAAGCACAAGGTTCTTAGAACATACGCCCGATGTGTTACAACAAGACAATATCCGCCAGATATGTTTTACTAAGAACATTTCGTGGAAGCCACAAAAGGTTCTTAGAACATGTTCTCCGCCAGAGATTCGGACGCCCGAAATGGGTATGGAAAGACTGGGTACAATGCCCAACAGCAGTTCCTGTTCATTCTGAACAGGACTCGCTGTCGGTGCCGCCGCGGCCTGTGCCCATTCGAGACAGAAGGCCGCCTGCCCAACAGCGGCCGCTGTGGGCTTGGGACAACATTTGTTGTTTGGGCATGGTACCCACTCTTTCCGTACTCAGTTCGGGCGTCCAAACGAAGAGGAGGTGGAGGAGGTGGAGGAGGAGGAGGAGGAGGAGGCGCGGACCGCACGCCACCAGCAAGAGGCAAGCCTCGAGCTGGTGGTCCGTTCAACAAAGCCCGGCACACACAAGGGCGTGGGCCGAGCGGGAGGGCCGCCCCGCCTGCCTGGCCTCGTCGCA